TTGCATGGCTCCGGAACAAGAATGACATGCAAATTCATGAAGTGTTCCATATTGAAAAATTATTTAATACCATTATTATTATCTGCATTGATTAAAAAAGTTAGAGTTACTGGTTCTTTATTTTGTTCATTCTCTGTACCCTACAAAACTTGAGTGGCAAAAGAGTATAGTGTGCTATTTATGTTGACTTTTACTGAATATATGCATTTCTAATTATAAGGGGGTCAAAATTATAATCCATGCTTCCTTCAGTTTTCCTAGCTCTTATTTACTATGTATACACCTGTAAGACCGTGGCAGCCAAATATTGTAAAGGCTTTAATTTTCTCAGCGCTTGAAATATGAACAGTAAAATTTATAGCTTCTTCCTAAACCTCCTGCTTTATAGAAGGTTTTGATTATTTTTAGCAGAGCCTTTCTATTATAGCCTAATTTAGCGGAACTGCACCACTAGAATTATAATTCAGCACTGCATCATCTCCCTAGTGACAGGAACCATGGAAAATAAGATGATCAAGAACAGGACAACCACACATTTTGAAAGGGAAGTCTTCAAATACCCCCTGTGGGGCACTGTCTCTCACTTTTTCTTTCTTGGCATTCAGCTTTACCTCATTTACTTTTACATTTCTAACATAAAACAAAAGTGAGCTATATTTTTCCCTGTGGTATGATTATTTTACAAAAATTCTACACATGCTTTAACCCAGCAAAATTGTATTTCATTTTATAAAATCAGTGTATTTCTAGTCCTTAAAACATTCTATCAGCTTTGAGGTTTTTCTTTTCCATAGTAAGAAAACTTCACCAGATAGTTCATGGTAATAGCACTTCTTCTATTATCTACAAAATTACCTAGAATGATTATGATAATTAGAAATTTAAAATTTGGGGGTGTAATGGCATAATCAATTTTAAAAATAAATTTAAAAAATAAAATAAAATTTGGGGGTGGTGGGGAGGGGTAGTGGGGAAAAGCAGAAAACTGTACTTAAACAACAATAAAAAATTTTAAATTACAAGGTCAGATACAAGATTTCTAATTCACATTCCTCCTCATATGGTTCTCCTAATACACTTTCTTTTATCCTATACCAAAATAATACTCTTCCCCCTACACTCTTAATTTTGTCTTTCCTTCTCTGGCTGTACCATTAGTGTTCTGGCTTCAGCACATAGTCCAGTGTTTCCTAGTCTAATCCCCAAGACTCAACCCTCATAACCCTGAGTAAACTTCAAAGCTGCCCTATACATCTCTCCAAGATATATATTGGCATCAAAGACAAGTTGAACATACCAGGCTCTAAATCATATTACTTTATAATTTATTGCTAAAATTGCACAAGCAAATTTTGTTAAAGAGAATTTGTGAACCAAATTTTTTTAAAAAACAATATATATATGAAAAATGGAAATGATGGTCTCGGGTATCAGACAAACAGCAGATCTTTGTAAGTTAAAACTTGCTGGAGGATTTCCAGCCAAAAAAGAAATGTAGGTAGATACACTGTGCCTCCTTGCATAACCAAAAGAAGGACAGTAACAAATTTAAAATAAAAAAAATAACCAGAACTGCCAGGAAATCAAACTGTATGAAAATTCAAAAACCAAGGAGTTAAAGAGGAAACGTTCATCCACTGTGCCCCTCACAGTAGGAGGGGCAGAGACAGGCAGCCAGGATGGAGGGGACTTGGGGGCAAAGCAGTGGCTGGCGGAGTGGGCTGTCCCACATTTGCATGCAGATTAACAAAGAGGAAGAGCTAAAGAGCCAGACAGATCATGCAACCCAGGGTCCCAGCACAGGGAAAGAAAGCCTTAAAACCCCTGAATGAAAAAAACCTGTGAGGGTTGAGGTGGCAAGAGGAGAAACTCCCAGCCTCACAGGAGGGTTCATTGGAAAGACCCACAGGGTCCTAGAACATACACAAATTCACCCACACAGGAATCAACACCAGAGGGGCCCAATTTGACTGTGGGAAGCAGGGGAAGTGATTGAAAACTGGCAGAGAGCAGAGCAAGCAATATTGTTCACTCTTGGACCCCTCTTCCACATACAGCACCACAGCATAGCTATGTTGCCCCACCCTGATGAATACCTAAGGGTCTGCCCCTTACTACGTAACACACATGCTGAGACAAAAAAAAATATGACCCAAATGAAAGAACACATCAAAGATAAAAAAATACAACTAAGCAATGAAGAAATAGTCAACCTATCAGATGCAGAGTTCAAAACATTGGTAACCGGGATGCTCACAAAAAATGGTTGAGTATGGTTGCAAAATAAAGGGAAAAGTGAAGACTATGAAAAGTGAAATAAAGAAAAATGTACAGGGAAACAACAGTGAAGGGAAGGAAACCAGATGCAAATCAATAGTTTGGAACAGAAGGAAGAAATAAACATTCGATCAGAACAGAATGAAGAAACAAGAATGCAAAAATTGAGGAAAGGCTTAGGAATCATAGGGGTACCAAAGAGAGAGAAGAAAGGGCCAGAAATTGAAAACTTACTTGAACAAATAATGAAGGACAACGTTCCCAGTCTGGCAAAGGAAACAGAATTCCAGGAAGTCCAGGAAGCTCAGATAGACCCAAACACTTGGGACCCAGGGAGGAACACACCAAGGCACATCATAATTACATTACTCAAGATTAAAGATAAGGAGAGAATCTTAAAAGCAGCAAGAGTAAAGGAGATGGTTACTTACAAAGGAGTTCCCATAAGATTATCAGCTAATTTCTCAAAAGAAACATTGCAAGCAGAAGGGGCTGGGAAGAAGTATTTGAAGTCTTGAAATGTAAGGACCTACATCCAAGATTGCTCTATCCAGCAAAGCTTTCATTTAGAATTGAAGGGTATATAAAGTGCTTCCCAGATAAGGTCAAGTTAAAGGAGTTCATCATCAGCAAGCCCTTATTATATGAAATGTTAAAGGGACTAATCTAAGAAAAAGAAGATACAAACAAACATACAAATAGTAAAATGACAACAAACTCACAACTATCAATAACTGAACCTAAGAAAACAAAAATAAAAATGAACTAATCAAACAACTAGAACAGGAACAGATTCACAGAAATAAAGATCATATGGAGGGTTATTAGGAGAGATGGGGGAATAAATGAGGGAAAAGGTACAGGAAATCTGAAGCATAAATGGTAGGTACAAAATAGAGAGGGGGAGGTTAAGAATAGTACAGGAAATTGAGAATCCAAGGAACATATATGTATGACCCATGGATATGAACCAATGTGGGGGAAAGCTGGTAGAGGAGGGGGGTACAGGGTGGAGAGAAATAAATGGGAGAAAAATAGGACAACTGTTATAGCATAATCAATAAAATATATTAAAAAATAAAACTTGCTGATAATTTTTATCACTATATGGAACTGTCCATGCTTTAATAACATATGAAAATTTAAGGGTTATACAGGATATTCCCACAAATTTTTCCCCATAAGCTGTCCTTGTTTATCACAAAAGCTATATTTGATGCTTAAAAATCTAATTAAACTTATATTTTATACCTTGAAATTGTTTTGGTACCCTCAGAAAACATCACATTTCTTCTTTTCTTCAAACCTACCTGATACTATATCTAAATCAAAGATTTCCATGTTTTTCCAAAGGAGAACCTATTTATCTGTTTCTCGGTCTCATTTAGGTATATGAACTTAGGACTGCAATAACACATGACTACTTCAGTTGGAGGAAGCTAATGAAGCAAATGAGTGGTTCGGAGGGAGGAGACTGGTGGCGGCAGAAACAGAGCAGCAAGACCCAACCCTGGAGGCAGGAAAGTGCTGGCAAATTCAGGCCGACCTGCTCTACCTCCTGGAAATGGCTGGGTATGACAATGACAGATTCATTATTGTGTGTCCGTGGTTCAGGGTCAGACATTTTGCCATTTCTACCATAAATTATATAACAATAAATTATAAGAAAGTTCAAAATAATTTATAAGAACTCTTATTTTGTATAACAAAGCAAATCCTTCATATACACTTCACACTGAATACTTACCCTTCAAAAAAGACTCACTAAAATATTTAGCATTGGCTACCTATTGCATAGAATGGCTAGAGAACATCTTTCTCTAAAGGAGATACACCTTAATGAAAACAATGTAAACAGGCAGGTTCTTTCCAAATATGTTTATGTGATGATCATACTATAAAAAAGAAATAGTGGTCCACATGAACGAGTAAAGAAGAAAATAAAAACCTACAGTTCACTACTGTTTATTTATACTAAACATACATTCTGTCCTTCATGTAATAAAGCCATGGGTCCTGACATTGTGCACTCCATGTGAAATTCTATGTAAAGTTACAGAATTATTCACTAGGCATATTTGGACTTGAATCATGCAAGATAATGCTGTGATTTTAACAAGAAATTAATAAGGAGTTTACCAAAGCAGACCAGCCAGTGGTGACTAGTACTCATTTTCAAAGCTTTTCCACTATTTCGTTTTGAAATTTAAGGTCCTTCCAGTAAAAGCCATTGATCATTTGGGCAATAGCTGGAATACTTACATGTGTTCTTTCAGAATCAGAGGGAATCACTTAATTGACATTGCAATGCAAAATACCAATTGACCATTATATAACGGAAAACACGATGTATATTTTAGCATAACTTACTGCTTCTTTTTAAGTATCAACATAATTCTTAGCTTATATTAGAATCCCCCTCTCTGAGGAAGACATTCTGTGGTTAAAAGTTGCCTAGTATTCAGCAAGTTTAATTTTTTAATAATGAATACTAGCTTTACAAATTTTTCCTTACTGAGCAATATCATGATTCAATTACCTATAGTATATCAATACTATAAATCAACTCATAATGAAAGTTTTCTAATAAAGGAGAAATCTGTACAGATTCCTAAATTAAATAGATAGACATCATAAAAAAGAAAATTATATCCTTGAAATTTAATTAAGATCACAATTTGCTATTAAAAGTTATTAATAGATAAGTAACTAAACCCCTTTACCTTATAAATATCCAAAAATCCACACTGGTGATCAAATCTGGTGTACAGTTCATTCAGCATGCTGATCACCTGCATGGGGGTACACTGAGCACAGATGGCTGTGAAGCCCACGATGTCCGAGAAGAGCATGGTGACATCATCAAACTTTCTGGCCTGCACTTGCTGCCCTTGCCACAATTGCTGAGCTACATCGCCAGGGAAAATAGAATAGAGGAGATCCACTGTTTTCTTTTTCTCTTCTTCGAGTGCCTGGTGAGTTCTTTCTAAAGTTGCCTTTAATTTATCCATCCTCTTCTTCAAGCCATCTTGGGCCTTTGCCTGCTCACCAACCAAAATGACATCTCGGGTGGCATCGTGGATCGGGATGTCTGAGAGATGCAGACCCCTGCCCATGAGTTCATCCAACTTGTCCACACACGGAGAGCCCAAGAATAAAATGGAATTTGATTCTGGGACATGGATCATTTGTCCTTTGACTTCCATCACCTGCAAAATTAACATGGAATTTTGATCAGTGCTCTTCACATAAAGAGATTCACAAAATTTGTTATCTGATAAAGAGGAAGAACAAGAAATGTTTTATTAGCCACGCTGACTTTCTGCGTTCATATAAGCAAATTTATATATGATTTACAGCGACTGTAAAATTCATGGTTCTAAATAGAAACATTTGTTATTGTCTCCTACTTGCCCACTTTTGAAAGTCAATGATGCAATGAAAAGTGACACCAATGAGAAATAAGACAGAAAAACATGGAATTCACTTAATAAATTAATTTTTCTTTATTTTTCATGGCATGAAGTATTTAAGTTAGTAGATGAAGTGCTTAAGGTAGTAGAAGCAAGGAGGACATATGGGGTAAAACTATAGAGATTTAGATTTGAAAGTCTGCAACTATGTTTCATTATGTTCCCCCTGCACAAATCACTAAGATCTAATCTAAATAAGAAAATAAAATTGAAATCTTGCTTGATATTATATTTTTATAATTGAAATGCTCTCTCTATGAAAAGTTTCTTCTAGTATTTGGTCTTTCATCTTTTCACACATGCTACCCTTTTATTCATTGAAGTAATTACCGTTTTCTATTTACCAGCACAGCTCTGGATGATAAGCATAAAAAGATAAAATAAAGTTCTCTTTTAAAAGAATATATCACAGTATGGGAGTGAGGAGGGAGCCACATTTACGTAACACAGAATAGTGTAAAAGGACGCTTTCAATTCAACGTGAATTCTCAAAAGACTGCTGGCTATGGTTTGAATGCAAAGAAAATAATTGCTCTGAAAACTCTCTGCAGGTTATTTTATATATGCTTAATTTGCTTTTGGGGGAAGGGGTGGTATTAATAATATATACTTTCCCATTGTCGGAATATTAAAGGCTTATGTAATAACAACATATACAAAATATACAGCTTCATAGTAAAAAATTAGTGTATTAATTTTTTCTTAACATTTAAGGTAAAAGCAGACCTCTGATGTTCAAATATTTAGACTTACATTTAGGGTCTGTCTCTTCCTCCTTCCTCATATTTCCTTCTAATCATTTTTTTTCCTTTTCCATCTTGTTTTCTCCTTCCTTCTCTCCTTTGTTTTTTGGATTTATACTCATTTCCAATAATCTCTCTTCATTTAGTCTCTCCCTTCACTGGTTTTCCTTATTTTCCTCATTAGTTCTTCCTTTTTCTTTTTATCTCTCTTTTCTTCTTATGAATCAACCTCCATATTTCCCATTACGAAATGGACTTTCTGATTTTTTTGCTTTTGCCTATACCTCTATTATTTAAAATGTGGAACTAGTATGAGTATATGCATAAATAATATACATTATTTGCAATATGTAACAAGTGTTGAACTTACAAAGAAGTTAATATGTTATATATCTATCTCAGAAATATAAAACATCAATATATTCTTGATTTATATGTGGCTATTAGTTGTTTTTTTTGAACCTCTGATTCAGCAGAGCCTGAGTGAAAAACTAGTTGCTTCCCTCCCACACTACAGAAACACAACTCATGAAACAAAAGCTCCCATATGCATAGTACATAACTTACTATTTTTATATTTTTTCATTAGTGAATTTTTTGTTAGTAATTAGGTAAATTCAATTGGAGCATTTATGTCTCTGTCATAATTGCAGTTTTATTTTAATTAAAAAATAACAAATTATTCTTCTTGAATTGTCTTTGTACATTATAATTATAAATTCAGAAATTCACAGTGCTCTGTATTTATTAATTTAGCAACGTGAAAAACTGTTGTAGGAATTCTTTATGTAGCAGAAACAGTTGTATAAAGCTGCATTAAAATGAAACATCTCTCTAGGTTTTTATTGTAGCCTAAGTTACATTAAAGTTTTAGCAAAATAACATAAGGCATAAGAAAAATAAACTGTATTTACATCTATCAGATTTCAGAAACTGGTAAGCATAATAATGGGGAGTATTTGGCTCTGAGCAAAAAAGGTTGAAAGTCATTATATCACAAAGCTTGCTTTTCAGGTTCTGTTAAACTAACTGTGTTATTTCTATTTTTACGCATGGATATCTCTGAGAGAATATTGACCACTATAGTAAAAATTAATTGAAAATTAAGAGTGTCTCAGTCATATAACTGTATACTATACATTCTTATGTTACATAACCCGAACATGGACTAACCCATGCTCTCAGGGAGACTCAAGATAGTAATTTATAACAGTATTATATAATGGTTAGGAAAGAAGGATTTGGAGGAAGTCAGACCTAAATTTGAATTCTAGCTTTCCTGCCGTTTTTAAGTGAGCAAACAAACTTAGATTCAATTAGTTCAATTAGTTATCCATTCCAGGCCTCAGTTTCTTTATCTATAAAATGGGGATAATGGTGTTGATGAGGATTTTCCTAAATCAACACATCTATTGAGTACTTGCTATTGACTAAGTTATTGAATCTTATTTCATGCTAGCTATTACTATTCTCATTTGCAGATGAGATGTAGGGAGGGTAAGAGACTGGCTAAGAATACACAGCTAATAAACAGCAGAATCAGCATTCAAACCCAAGCTGGATTGGCTTCATAGGACATGCTTTCAGCCAGTGAGGAAGAGTAATGGGTAGGGGGTTGGAGGAAGCAATAACAATTCTCAATATGAATCAATGTGATGGCAAAATAACCCTAATATGATGTTCACCATAGACAATTTAAAAAAGAGAAGCTATTGCTATCGATGTATTTAGATACAAACAACTACTCACATGCTATTTCATCACTTCAATTCAGGTCAGTAAAAAGGTCACTTCTAAGTTTCTATTTCAGATCTTTCAGATCTCTGGGATGTGATTTATGAAAAGCACAAACAGAATGATATGCCCTTGCTCTCCAGAAGGGCCTTTGTTCTCACAGAGTAACATCTACGTTTAAAAATTGGCTCTAGCAAAAGAGAAAAATTGTAGGAGACAAGTGCCCAGCTCAGAAACTTCTATGTCCTCACAGTCCAGAGCTTCTGCCCTCTCACAGCCCCCTCCTTAGGCTTCACATGTCTGGAGTCAGCAGCGAGAGGCATCCTACCACAGTCAGTGCCCAGCCATGAAGTACTCTTTACCTATGGAGACATTTGGGGGGTGGCGATCTCCTCCTTCACATAAAGGCACCAGGAAATCTAGCATCGGGGAGCTTGGTCAGACCAGACAAGCAGCACTAATAAGGACCAGTGGGAGCTCCAGAAGCATGGAACAAACCAAGCAGATGAAAATAGCACCATATACACTCAGAAAATTACAGTCATTGCAACTACAGCCTTCAAAAGTAAGTCAGGACCTGGGTGCCAGACCTAACCAGAATGTTTTTCTCTTACAATAAAAAGCTAAATGTGATCTAATCTCTTCTAACATAATAGATTAACTGTCTGGGACATAAAAGGAAACCAAAAATCATAAGACTTAGGAAAATTGTATCTTGAATGAGAAAAGGCAACCAATTAATGCTAACACAAATGAATCAGATGTTGATTTTATCTGTCAAGAATTTTAAGGACACCTTCATAAACATTTCAACATGCAATTACAAATTCCTTTGAAAATAATGAAAAATTAGAAAAACCTTAGAAAAGGAATAGAAGATAGTAAAATAACCAAACTGAATTTATAGAACTGAAAAATACAACTAAAATAGAAAACTTACTGAGTGGGGTCAAAAATAGAGTGGAAATGACACAGTGAATCTGAGGATAGTTCAATAGAATTTACTTAGCCTGAATAGAGATGATAAACTGGAAAACAAAATACACAATCTCAAAGACCTATAGGACAATAACAAAAAATGCACCATTTCTTATCATAGGAGTCCTGGAAGGAGAGAAGAAAAAAAGGGATGAAAAATCATCTGAAGAATGAATGGCTGCATGTGTCCCAAATTTGATGAAAGATATAAATCCATAAACTCAATAAGCCATATGAACCTCAAATAGGATAAACTCAAAGAAATTCACTTCAGGCCACATCATAGTTAAACCTCTATAATCTAAATTCAAAAATATTTGAAAGGCAGCCAGAAGGAATTGACACATTACCTATAGGGAACTCTAATTTGAATGACAGTAGATTTTTCATCTGAAATTATGGAGTTCAGAAGATAATTTTTTATTATCAATTTATTGATATTTAAAAAATTTTAATAAAAGTGTCAATTGCAAACTCTGTATCTGTACAAATTATCTTTCAAGAGTAAAAGAGAATTAAAGACCTCTGCAGACAAAGAAAACTAAATGTCTTTATCCTAGCAGACATACCTTTACTCTCAATGGCCAAAGAAGGATCTTTAAACAGAAAAACTATAAGAGAAGGAAATTTACAGCATTAGGAATGAAAAAGGGACAGAAAGACTAGAAATATAGGTAAACAAAATAGGTTGTTCTTGTCCTCATGAGTTGTCTAAATCATATGTGATGACTAAAAGAAAAATTATAATGTCATCTGATACCATAAATATAAGAAAAACCAGGGAGAAATTATGCACACACACACATACACACAGAAGAAGATGCGAAGACAGACACTGGTTGAAGTGATGCAACCACAGCCAAGAAATGCCAAGGAGAGCCGGTTGCCACCAGAAGCTAGAAAAGTCGAGGAACAGATTCTTCCTGGATCCTCCAAAGACAGCATGGCCCCACCCACACTTTAATTTCAGATTCTAACCTCCAGGACTGTGAAAGAATACAATCCTGTTAAAATTTTTAACCAAGTTTGTGGTAATTTGTTAGATTAGCCACAAGAAACTCATAGAGAATGGAACAATAAAATAAACAAATAGGATCTAATTGACCCATATAGGGTGATCCATCCAACAATAGCAGAATACACGTTGTATTCGAAAGCCGGTGGAATATATACTAAAATAAACCATATTCTGGGCCATATAAAACATCACAACAAATTTAAAAATTATACAGAATATGTTCTCTGACTACATAGAATAAAACTAGAGATCAATAACCATAA